GTGTCAGAGAGAGCTGTCTCCATGCCCTGCCTCGGCGTGTGCTCCAGACCAGGCACCTTAAAGCTTTCTGGGGTGTCCCCAGCCCTGGAACCATCCCTGAGACACACCAGCAGAGCAGCCTCGAGGCTGGTGATGCCTCATTCGCACCTTTTCCTTCCCCATCCATCCCCAGCACTTCTGGCTGAGCCAGACCCAGCTCCTTTTGCCTGTGGTGTCAGACCCCCCCAGTGCCTGTGGTGGGATGCCAGGGGGGCAGCTTTGCTGTGGCCACCAGTGACCATGTGGTTTCTCACCCCTGTAGCTCTTTGTGATCGACAACGGAGCCGACGACTGGCGGATAGCGATGACGTACGAGCGCATCCTCTACATCAGCCTGGAGATGTTGGTCTGTGCCATACACCCCATCCCTGGGGAGTACAAATTTTTCTGGACAGCCCGTCTGGCTTTCTCCTACACACCTTCTCGGGCAGAGGCAGACGTGGACATCATCCTGTCTATCCCCATGTTTCTGCGCCTCTACCTGATCGCTCGGGTGATGCTGCTGCACAGCAAACTCTTCACCGACGCCTCCTCGCGCAGCATTGGGGCTCTCAACAAGATCAACTTCAACACTCGCTTCGTCATGAAGACACTCATGACAATCTGCCCTGGGACAGTGCTGCTGGTCTTCAGCATTTCCCTCTGGATCATTGCTGCGTGGACAGTCCGTGTGTGTGAGAGGTGAGAGGGGTTTGGGATGAGCAGTGGTTTGGGATGCTGTTCAAGATGCATGTTGGTTCAGGATGTGTGGAGGTTTGGGATGCACGCTGGTTTGGGATGAGCAGTGGTTTGGGATGAGCAGTGGTTTGGGATGAGCAGTGGTTTGGGATGAGCAGTGGTTTGGGATGAGCAGTGGTTTGGGATGAGCAGTGGTTTGGGATGAGCAGTGGTTTGGGATGAGCAGTGGTTTGGGATGAGCAGTGGTTTGGGATGAGCAGTGGTTTGGGATGAGCAGTGGTTTGGGATGAGCAGTGGTTTGGGAAGAGCAGTGGTTTGGGATGTGTGGCAGTTCAGGATGCTCAACAGTTTGGAATGCTCCATGGTTTGGGATGCTCAGCTGTTCAGGATGCATGTTGGCTCAGGATATGTGGAGGTTCAGGATGCTCAACAGTTTGGGACACATGGTGGCTCATGGCAAGCAGCAGTTTGGGATATGTGAAGGTTTGGGATGCTCAGTGGTTCAGGAAACACAGTGCTTCAGGATGTTTGGTGATGTGCAGTGACTCAGGACACTCAGCACTTCAGGGTTTTGGGATGCACGACAGTTTGGGATGCTCAGAGGAGCTGCAACATCCCAGCACCCTGGGGGAGGTATGCAGAGCTCCAGGGCCTCAGCAGCTGCAGGTTTCCTCCAAGGAGCCTTGTCCCAGTGGAGGCAGAGCAGGGGCAGCCCTGTCCCCTCAGTGCAGTGCCTGGGCCAGGCAGGTCCTTGTGCACGGGGACAGTGTGCGGTGGGAGAAGCCCCAGGAGGACACGTGAGGGACATGGGGAGCACCAGGAGCCGGTGGGCTGTGTGTGGGGAGAGGCCAGAGGTGCTGGTGGTGAGTGGCAGGGCTTGGCTTGTGCTCTGGCATCCTGCAACCGACTGCCATGACAACACGGTGGTGACAAACCCACTGCTGGGTGGCACCGTGCCAGCACCGCCGCGCTCAGCGCTGGGGTTGCTGTGGAAAATGGTTACCACTGCCCCTCCATCGCCTGGGGCCCTGCCAACACTCTTTGGCCACTGAGGGAACCAGGGGGGCTGTGGCTGTGCCATGCCCACTGCTGTGCCAGAGGGTTTTCTCCATGGCCACAGGACAAGGTGCTGGCAGACCTCACTCCGGGGCAGGGAGGGCAGATCCCCCGTGGGGTGTCCTGTTGTGGCAGCTTTGTGCCATCTGTGGAAGTGAGGGGTGAGGGATCACACCAGTTGGCACCCCAGGATCACCCAGATTGCTTCTGGGTGCTTGCAAGGCAAGAGGAAGGTCACCCTTCCTCTTCCCCTGGGTGGGACCCGTTGCTCTGGTAACCCTGCGAAGGGGCATTAGGGCAGCTGTGAGTGCTGCAGCAGTGGCATGGGATGGCACACTGGGGTTTTACAAGCTTTTACAGGATGCATCTGTCTTTTTACCTCCTTTAATGATCCTCTCCGGATGGGCTGGATCCTCAGACACTGCTTAATTGCGTTTGGGAGGTTGTGCCTCCTAAGCAGGGAGCAGGCAGAGCAGGCACCCGGGACACACACAGGAGGTGATCCTGCACCTGGGAGGGCTTAGGCTGGAAAATGCAATATAAATAAGAACCATTCCAGACAAAAAAAAAAAAGAAAAAGCCCAGAAATGACGCAGACGAGGCACTGCAGATCACTGGCCCCGCAGCTGCCATCACCTCCCTCTGTCTACAGAGCGGCAGAAGAGGACCCAGGAGGGCTGAGATGTGTCAGCCCCGGGGGATGCAGCACTGGGGGATGCAGAACCCCTGGGACATGCTCCACCTGCGAGGGACTCACCAGCCCAGGGCATGCACCAGCCCTGGGTGTCACACAGCTCCCACGAGGGCGGCTCAGGATGTGTCCCTCTGTCCTCACCGACGGCAGGTTGCTGCATCAGCACCACAAACCAGTTTACTGCCGTTTGCAGGACCATTCCCAACTGGCATCCACCGGGGGCAGGATGCTCCGAGGTGGTCGTGCCGCTCACCCACCGGGGTCAGGATGCTCCGAGGTGGCCTTGCCGCTCCAAGCCGTGGTCCCCACGGGGGCTGGGGGGGGGTTGCTCCAGTGCCCGTGGGCGCGCCGCAGCACCGTGCGCGCCGGGGGGCCGCAGCTCTCCGAAGGCAGCGAGTCGCTTAGCAACCTCGCCCGCTCGCCTGGCCACCGCACACA